ACCTACCAGCCAACTCTTTGTAAATAATGTGTACAGGGATAGGTTGTCTTCTTAGGATGGATGGAGGGTGGATACCAATCTTAGGCTCTCTACTTCCGTCAAATTAAGGATGGATTTACTCTGAGTATAGAATAATTTATTGTGGTAATAATAATATAACAATCACAATAGCAAACATTTGTTGAGTATTTTATATAAATTAATATTTCCATAATTCTGTGAGGTAGACACTATTATATATTATTTGATATAATGGATAAGAAAACATGTATCAAGGACTTAATTTATTTCTTCTATTTTATGCATTTAATGTGTTAAGGCTGTATAGCTATAAATATGAACTGCACTAGTCATTCAGGCTCCAGAGACCATTCTCTTAACCAGTGTAATTCTTGCTGCTTCTTACTTGAAGAGGAAAAAAAGAATTCATTTCAGTTTTGCTCAGAGCTGTCTTTTCCCCACTGTATGTCTGAAGTTATCTTAGCTTATTTCTGCTTCATTTCTAGGCCCCATGCTTATGACAGGAAAATTCCTTTTTCAATTCCTCTACTGTACGTCCTTCTCTACTCTAGTTGCTATCATCAGCCCTCCCACTTTGTTTAGAGTAGTGGCATCTAATAAAATTTTCTGCTATAATAGAAATGTCCTATGGCTGTATTGTCCAATACAGAAGCCACTAGCCACTTGTGTGTTACCATATTGGACAGCATAGGTTTAGAGAACTGTTTTTCACTGTGCTTGATCTGGGATGGATGTTGCAATCAGCCTGTCTGTACCATGGATGTTGGCTGCACACTGGCCCACTCATTAATTGCCCTGAGGATTGCTCCATATCCTGCTGCTTCTTCCAGTTCTTGTTGACTCTAAACTTGGAGTTTCGTTGTATCACCACTGGGAAAAGTGGCTCTGTAGTGCCCTCTCTTTTGTTTCTCTTAGATTGTCTCTTTTACTCAAACTCTTCTGTCAATCTTATTCCATTTGCTCTCTGCTTTTCAGAAATTTCTTCAAAGTTTGACTCACTGATTAAATGCTTTTCTGTTTTCAAGAGTTGGTCAGAGTTTAAAAAAAAATACATTTGTTGGTATTTCCCCAAGATTTTAGGAAGGAAATAAAAGGATGTACATGTCATTATTTTATGATCTTGAGTTAGAGAGTTAATGTGCTTTCAATGATTTTACATGTCATGTAATGTAATGGATGAACAACTATAAGAAAAGTACTTTCTCTTTTCTGAAGCCATTAAGAATATATTGTTCATATTTAATATTTCAGAATGGAAGAAATGGTCCCTGTATCATAGATAACTGTAAGCTGTTTGGACCTCTTTAAATGAAAATAAGCAAGCACATCTTATTTTATATAATCTTTGCTCCTTTGTAAATGGTTGGTAGTCCTCTTTTCTTTTCTCCCTTTCTCCTTCTTCAACTCTTCCCGTTTCCTTTCTCTTGCTGGTGCAGATTAGAAGTTCAGGTATACTGGTGATCAAACTTCCTTATCAGTTTTTTTGGTGGGGGTTACATGAACATTGTAGTATTTGTGAAGGCTTATTGCCATTTCATTTCATATTATTTTTTGGCTTATTCACAATGAGGCACAATGGTCACTAAATAGAGGATGTATTTTTGGAGGGACATCAATAATATTTTTGAATTACAATAGGAAGTTAAGAGGCTGCACAGCAGATGATATCATAATGCCTCCTACTCATACAACATTCTGATATGGGGATATGTGATGTTCATGATGTTTCAAACATTTATTCAGTTTGCAGAGTGTCATGATCATACTGTTCTTGGAGTGGGTGCAAGAGAGTAATTTTACTTTTGAATCATAGTGTAACAATGAAGGCTTTTAAAGACAAGGCATGAGAATAGTAGGTACTATTTTGGCTCTGAACAAAAATATTCCAGTGAGCTCTGTCTGCTTCCATCATGAAGGCACCTGGTGAGAAACACCTGCTGCTCCTCTCTTCTATCATGAAATAACTTGATGTCAGGAAATAAAACTCTTCCACTGACATGTTCTGAAAAGAGGGATTACAAAATCTTATATGTTGAGAAGACTTTGATTTTGAGATGATGGATTAGATCAACTGTACTTTTCCTCCTCAGGATGAGAAGTGTGTCAATATTTTTAATGACGTTGGTCATGGACTATTATTTCATAGGATCTCGTTTCAGCAACAGACATTATTTTGTTCAATATTATTTTAAAGTATTTTCCATGATGTACATAAGTATACACACACACACACACACACACACACACACACACACACACACACACATATACACTTTTATAATACTATAGCCATAGCAAACATACTAATTTAGCACATGTAAATTCATGAACATTTCTTCATGTTGTTAAATATTCTTCTGCAATATCATTTTAAATGGCTACAATGTTTTAATGAATAAATGTGCTGTAATTTAACATCTCCTTATCAAACAATCACAAATAGTGCTGTGATGAACACATCTGCATAGTTATTTTTGACAATATCATTGATTATTTCCTTAGAGTGAGGTTTTTCAACCTGGCACTACTGGCACTTGGGGAAGGATAATTATTTGTTGTAGAGGACCGTCCTGCACACTGTACAGTGTTTAGCAATATCCCTGGCCTCTAACCATTAGATGCCAGAAGCACCCCTACCCCAGTGGTGACAGCCAAAACTGTCTCGAGACATTGCCAAATGTCCTGGGAAGCCAGAATCTTCCCCCATCGTGAACCACTGCCACAGAGTAAATTATTTAAAGAAGAATTTCTCACACAAATCATATGCACAGATTTAAACAATCCATGTGGGTTTTATTTTCACTTTAAATAAGGTAATTGAAGGATATAAAGAGACAACTTTTAAAATTTGTGAAAAATGTTTTTCTAAACCAAGGGTGTCCAGTCTTTTCGCTTCCTTAGGCAACATTGAAAGAACTGTCTTTGGCTGCACATACGTTAACACTAATGGTCACAAACAGTCTTATAATGTTTTAAGAAAGTTTACCAGTTTGTATTGGCTGCATTTGCGGCTTGGACAAGCTTGCAAACCTTTCCTACCGACGTTCTTCAGGTGTGGTGTACCTGGTGGTAAATACAAGTGGGGTTCTATTTCATCATTAGCTACAGAAAAATCTTTCTGTGTAGCTATAAAGTGATAAAACTCACAGATATGGAATGAGAGAAGACCCAGCTCTCAAACTGCTTCTCATCTTTCTGACTACATAATATTTCATAATTTCCGATTCTGTAACCACATTACACATTTTTTACACCTGATGTTTTCCTTTTCTCAGCAGTAAAAGACTGATTGCTTGGATTTGGAATCAGTCAAAGTAAGATTCCAATATGAAATCTTACCAGTTTCTAACTAATCTTTGTAGGCTTTAATCCTCAGCTTCTGTAACTGTAAGATGGGAATAAGGTCTACTATCCAGAGTGGTTGGAAAAATTAAAAGTCAGATGTTTTAAGGCTCTTAAGAATGCTTGGCACCTATGAAGCACTCATAATAGTATCCCTTTCTCCAAATTAAAAGAATAATAATTAATTTCCTCAAATTAATTGTATGCCCCTCCACTCTCTAAGGAGGCATTTTAACAGTAAAAGTTGTCTTGAAAGTTTTCACTGGTGGAGTAGATGAAGTTGTGATATTTTAGGGACGTAACTTATAATTGTGTGAGAGACAACATGATAGTTACTTAATGAGTTATTTGGAACAGTATCCTATTGGATGTGGGAAAAAATGCTAGAAATTTGATCTTCTATGTATTTTAAATGTCATCCATTTTAATTTAATATTAGTAAAATGGTGTGATATATATAAGTTAATTGTGACTGCTTGCTCAAAATTTCTTTACTGCTGGTGTGTGAGAGCATTGTGTGTTTTGGAGACCACTGACTGACTGAAGGTAGTTTGTTTGTTTGTTTTTCTGTTTCTGTGATTTTGGAGAGAGAAAAGGAGTTGTAAATGTCACTGACTCTCAGAATCCCCGCAATTCACTGTGTGTTGTTTCAATATTATTATGCACAAGCCTTCATTATCCTTGCAGTTTTCAATCACAGCAGAAGTATATTTTAAATGTTCTCACCCTAGCCATTCTCTCAAGATTGACTGAAATGGGGAGCAGGATGCAGCATTTCCCCAAGTCGCAGATAGCACCTGGGAAGATTTATTTCTCTCTGTTTTAGAAATGGAAAATAAAACACAAGATTCTTTCTCTTTTGAAAAATATAAACTGATTATCAAGTGAAAACAATGCCCAAATTAACTCTTATCCTAGTCCCTCTCTACAATCCTCCTTTGAAATAAGAATACCTTGAAGAAATGGATACATTCCCTGATGGAAGGCATATACTATGATATCAGGTTTTAGAAGCTGGTGGAAGGGTGTGGGTTGTGTATATACATGTGTGCGTATGTTTGTGCACACTCAGTCATGTTTTAATAGGGGACCCAATATTCACTGGGTTCCTGATGTCTGACAGGCTCTTTATACTGGACACTTATCATCCAATTTCACCTTCATACAGGCAAGATAAGAGAAAAGAGAATCTCGTGCCCCTCTCATGGTAAACATTTTCGTCAAATAAAGAAAGAATAGGTGGGAAGTTAAGGTCCTATTGTATCCACATTGACTTCACCCCTGCTTCTGCTACCTTAGTGTTCCACTCTACAGACTTATTGGTATTTTATATTTCCAGAAATTTCTATGTACACAAAGAAAAAAATATGTATACACTGTTTTCACAAATGAGAGTCATTGCATGGAAATGGAAATCATGTGATAGTGATTGCTATTCAAACTACTTTTCTTCACTTTGCAATATCTTTGGGATAATTTCCATACCAGTATATATAGATTTACCTCATTTTTTTTATATCCTCATGACATTCCACTGCAAGGATTTACTATAATTAATTTAGCTACTTCCTTATTCAACACTGTAATATATCTGTATGCCTCTTTGAACACTTATGTAGGGTTAAATTTATAAAAATACGAATTACTGTTTCAAAATGTATGCATATTTAAAATTTAGATTCAGCAACAAGAGTACATCAATATATCCTCCCATAAGTGAGAATTTTTTTTCCCAAATTCTCATATTGTTTAAGTTTTGGGATAAAAATAACATTTAATTTTTGCCTTAATTTATTATTCTTGAATAATGAGTGAGATTGAGCATCTCTTCGTAAGCCTATTTGCATGTGGATCTCCTGGAAATAAGTGGTTTTATAATCATTATCAAGAGGGCCCTTTCATTGTATTGGTTTAATCTCTGTTTTGCACTTAGGGTCGCAAAGAAGCCAGAGTGGAGGCTGAAGGGATAATGGATTTAAATGAATTTTGGCTGTACCATCAAGCAGTCTGATCACTGAGGAAATATCAAAAGCTTCACCCAAGTGACTCATCATTCAAATTCCACAGAGGTAATATAATAACTTATATTGCTCAGCCTTTTGACTATTTAGTTGGCTGTGTGAGATCAACGGTACCCACTTTCTCTGCTGGATTTTGCTTTGGGAAAGAGATTTATTGGTTAGATCTCACATTACAACGCTGTCAGTGGCTTTGGGACCCGATTCCCAATACTCAGAAGCATAGAGCAAAATTATTTAACATCTTGGCCTCAGGTAACAATATCTACTTCATTGAGTTGGATCAGGCATCAAATTCTGTGGGGATATACTATTGTCCACTGAATACTCTATCCTTCATCTTGTTTCATCATTTTCTGAGGCTTTGCTTTGTACTGGATAGTGAAAAGCTTGCAGCTGCAGATAAACCAAAGTGGCAATTTTAGGAGGCATGTGAAATAAAAATGTGACTGGTCATGCATATGGATTATTAGATGTATAATGTATAATATAGCTTTCTATATGTAGTGTTACCTAGATTGGGCTCATGTGCTATTATTATGCTTTTAAAATGGAGTGCTTTTTTCATGAAGTTCAGATGGTCTGACTAGTTTATATTCTCCAAACACTTCTTGTATTACTCTTTCATTAGATTCTACTCTTAAAATTAACTATATGGTCTCTACAGACAAGAAGCAAAGGTTCTGCACTGCTACAGCCTTCTGTTAAAAGACAGAGCATCCACATTTTCTTTCATTTTACTGTGAGACGGCCAGTCTGTTTTGTAGTCTCCCACACACACTTTTCTTCTCTCAAAGACATTTCCAAGTTTAATATTATATTTTTCAAAAGTCCGAAATTATGCAGGCTTTAAAAGGAATTAAAAACAAGAAATAACTCTCATATAGAGCCATTTACCACATCTATCTAAAAATTACAGCGATGCCTTTGCTACTTAAATTATTGTAGAATTGCTAATGTCATCTCCTTTTCAAAAGCATTGAAGTAAAATTGTTTAGAAGTAATGTCATTTACTAAAAAAATAAAGAAGAATAAGGAATATATGTCTTTATATTGATATAAAATGATGAATATGGAAAATGAGACATTTCAAAGATTAATCTTAACAGGGAAGTCTTTTCCTATGTAAATATTTTATCACTTTACACTGTATAATATTGGAGATTTTCCGATAATTTGTGGTTTTGCAAACCATATGTTCTTAGAATTTATACATACGGTTTTAGCTTTTATTATGAGGGTACACTGGCCAAACAAATTATATGTCTCATGTTATTCTTCATAGTACATCTAGTCTGGTCAAATGAAATCATGCACCTCCAAAATAATAGTGAAAGAAAGCTAAAACAGAAGAAATTACATGTAATTGTGGTAAAAGATAAGCATTTACTGATCAGATAGAAAATACCAAACACATACTTGTTCTCTGTGCCTATGTAATCAGTGATTATACTAATATTATTTTGTATGAAAAGACTTTTTAAACTGTATTAAAATTTTTCTGTACTGAAGAGGATAAAATTATTGAGAATGATCTCTAATTCTTACCAGAAAGAGACTTTGACATTGGGTAGGATCACTTTTACAGTCTATTCATTTATTCAACCACCATGTATTGAAGCTAGGTTTCTTGTATGCTTGCTGCTAGGTACAGAATTTGGGGTGTGTATGTTAGTGGTAAGAAGTTCATGTTAGTGTATGTTAGCAGTGAAAAGATCAGTAAAGCACAGGGTATGGAGAGGGATCTCATAAACAGTAAATGATAATATAAACAAGAATGAGAAGTAGTCATCAAAGGTAAAAATGATATCGTAATAACTGCTGATTTTAGTAGGGTGTTCGCTAACTTCCCACCATTAGTGAAGGACTTGACTGTCCATTGTGAATATTATGTCATCCTCTCAACATCTAACTGCCTCTTCTTAGCTTATACTTACTGTGCAGTTTATAGATGGAAAAAACGTTTTCTCGGTTATGTAATCCCTTTCTCTGTGCTAGGGTGAGCAGGTCTGTGCAAGGAATTCCCTTGCTCCAGGCAGTGTTTCAAGAATGGGACTTCATGAATGTGAATGGGAAGAGCCATTTCTCTTGGGAGGTGCAATTCACTCTAGACTACAGGCCATGAGAGGTTTTCTGATAATGGCTGGAGAAGTTCTCTCTCACTATTCCGGGAGAACTTTTTGAAGTGATCATTTTGCTCATTCCTTTGCTTTGGATGAAGAAGCCTGTAGCCCAACAATAGTCCCTTGTACCTATGAGGGAAAGCAAGCCTGCTGACTCCATGGAAGGCAGAACAGAGGGAGAAGAAAAGAAACGCGGTTCTTGATTCTGTGGCTTAGCCACTGAAATCAAACCCATCCTGAAGACTCTCTTCTCTGGACTTCGACATTAGTGAGCCAGTAACACACTTTTGCTGCTTATGCTAGTCTGAGTTTTGCTTTCTCTTACCTTCAACTAGTCTAAATTATAGCCAGAAGTTGTCTCTTCAGTCTTCATAATGATTCTGTGAAATAGATGTTATTACTGTTATTATTTTAAGAGTGAGGAGACTGAAGCCTAGGGAGATCACTTGTCCTGAACCACAGTGGCACAAAGTGGAAAATCCAGGACTTTATATGCATAGTTGAATCCAATGACCATATTCCTAAACACTGTATTCTACAGGTTCATATGCTTTGTAGATCCAGAGACAATGTCAGTCAATCTAGAAACGTAGAAAACTTATCACTATGGTAGAAGCGTCTGATCTGGCCTGTAGGTAGAACTTAAATCAACAAGAGATGGAGCTGAAGCAACAGCTTTAGAGTAGGGGAGGTAAAGTAGCTGAGGCTGGCATCTAATCTCTGTGTAGTTCCTTAAGGGGGTGATAGGAGATGGGACCCATGGGAAAGCTTGGGGGTTCTACAGAGGTTAGAAGACAAAGATTGAGATCAGAAAGGCATGGCAAAATTAGATAGAGGGGTTAATAAAAGGAGTCCCTGAAATGGTCAAACAGTGAAGGAAGGAGAAGCATTGAGGCTGGTACCCACTACCTGTAGTTCTTGAAATAATGGGATGATGGGGTAAAGGATGGGTTAGAAAAGAAAATGATCACCAGGATCTGCATACACTTAGGAGTTGGTATCATTATAATCAGGGAAGAGCCATGTTTCAGTTTAGGAGAGAAGGTGGAGGGAGTATTGCCGGAAGAACTGAGTCAGAATGTGTGTATAAAGGATCAGAAATGCACAGTGAAGGATTGGTTACCAGGGATATGGAGGAGAGATGTGTGGGGATAACTGTGCTGGGTGGAACACAGTTGTGAGATGGCCAGTAGGCTGGAAGCATGTGCATTTTGGTCACTAATGAACAAAACTGGGAATTGTGGGAAGGAAAGAGGCTGTTTCCAGCTTAAGCAGCTTCACAGGTTGTATTTACATTCGTGGATTCCTTCACAGTTCTGACTGCTGGTGCATCATGTCCTGCCAGCAGAAGGGAACTGAGGTGGCTATGGCAACCTGAGAAACCTCTAGCAGTATTAATATTCACAAACATATGGAGGCTGCAATCCTTTAAAAATAATAACATAAGCAGTGGCAGTGGGCAACAGGAACAAGCATGGTAATTTGTAACTCTCACCTCTGGAGAAACACGGAGCTGCATATATTATTTTTTAATAATCAGTCACAAATTAACTAATTGCTGCAATCCTCAAACCAGCTTTCCCCTGTAGCTTGTCATTATCTGCAGATGTCAAAACAAGTAAAATAAATGGACTAGATTTCCTTTAGATGTTTGTTGATAATAATTGTTTTCCTCAAAAAAATTAAAAATTGTATGTCTGGCAGCAAAAGCTTCTTTGTTGGTTATTACTTTAAAGTTTCATTTTTATCTTTGAATATCTGGTAGAGATTGTTACATTCTGCCTTCCTCCTTTTCTGAGCCATCAAATTCAGTGGTTCATTTGAAGAACCACTGATTAAAATCTACTGTGTAGTTGCAATTAAAAATGCACATTCCTGGTTTCCCACCCTAGAGATGTGGATTCATTAAGTCTAGAATAGGACCCAGGAATTGGTATTTTAAGTGAGCTCCTCAGGTAAATCTGATGGAGAGATGATGAGAAAGAAAGCTCTAGTCTTGGAGAGCTGGTGGCTGAGGCTTATGATAGGGAGGTGTGCTTTTCTGTTTTGGAAGTTGATTTAGTTCTCTTTCTAGCCCCATTCTTTCTTCTTCATCATGAATCTTTGCTCCTGGAGACAGAGTGTTATGATGGAAAAAGCTCTGGTACCCGCCTGAGGTCTGGATTGGAGTCCTGGTGTGGCATTTATAAAAGGTGAACCCTAGACTGGGACAAGTAAACTTATTCTGAATCTCAGTTTCTCCATCTGTGAAATGGCCATAAGTCTTCCTCAGAGCTCTAGCGATGTTTAGAGAGTATCTTATCCCATACCTATTAGATAATAAGTACTTAAATAATACTATTATTATGACCTTGATTTCTCTCTGGCACTAACTTGTGGCACCTGCCTCTGGAGTTGCCAGCACAGAAATGTCACCTTGTAGAGGATTACATGTGTCATGCACACACGGGGGGATTTTTCTGTTCTTTTACTCCCCTCTTTCCTTTTCCTGAGGACCTGAGCCCAATGATGAGGTGAAGAAAGGGAACTGGTCCTGAAGAGAAAACAGCAGAGCAAGAGCATGCCTGCCATGAGATTCTCAGAAACCCCAAGCCTGCACAGGGTGCTAAATGAGATATGGTGTGTATCAGCATTTGTAGTGTCTGTTGGAGGCACTGAGTAGAGGAAGTAGATGCTATTATCTTTGTTATATCTGCCTTTTTGAAAGTTGACAAGCGGGGCTTAGTTGGGGACAGAAGTTAGAGAAGGATTCCCTTGTTAACATTGTCTTTTCTGTGTTCTGTGTCCCCTCTGTGTACTATAGACACAGAGAACTGGTGAAATGGTGGAGAGAGAAAGAATGCTCAAAGTTCTGTGTGTAGTGCTTGTGCATTCCACAAAACCTGTTACCCATCTGGTGTTTTGGCATGATAGAAGTTTCTAGTTTCA